AATACTGATCCAAGTGAAAAATTTTCTCAATTATACGAGGTGCTTTTATATAAGAAAAAAGATATAACAGCTATTCAGAAAAAACTTGGTATTAATAGTAATATAAATAAAATGGCAGTGTCGGAGAGCAAGATAGTGAAAGAACTTGCTGATTTATATAAATTGCTGTTAGAATTGGTGAGGGATTTAATGCCTATACAGAGGAAACTTGATATAGATATCAATCCTATTTTAGAAGCAGAACTTAGAAGGGATGAAATCTCTTCAGATAAACCAATTAGATTATTTGATTTGCTTTTATGCTTAGAAGATGATATAGCGATAATTCAGAAAGAACTTGATATTGTCAGTTATACTAATCAAGAAATGGCAGAAGAAGCTGATAAAAATGCGAGAGTGTATTTCTGAAAGTTTGAAGAATTTCATGGTCCCTTAGAAGATGATCTAGGTGTGTTAATAAAAAAATTCACTGATATAGGGGTAAAAAAATTTTGGTTTACTGGTGAGGGACTACCATTATTTCCAAATGTCTCTCCTCAATAATTGCATGAAATTTTCATCAAAAAATCAGCTATTACCAATCAGTGCCCATGTCTAGAATCAAAAATCAAACAAGAAAAATTATCACGGATATATATACATCACAGCAAATAAAAATTCTTTGTTTGAAATTAGCTGGAGGCTGTCGAATACCCTAATTACCCGCTCTATTCTTCAACATTAAGTAAAATTATTTGTAAACCATGAATAATTAAGATTAATCCCACCTAGGGTTCTGAAAAAAAGTCTGGTTCAGTTCGAATCTGGTTCGGTTCGAGCTTGAACCGGACTCGAACCTGACGAAAAGTCTGGTTCGAAAATTTGAACCTAATTAAAAGTCTGGTTCAAGTTCGGTTCGAATTTCGAATCAGACTCGAACCTGACAAAAAGTTTGGTTCGAGTTCAAGTAAATGTTTGTTGATGTTCTAAGTAAAGTTGTAGATCGTAACATGAGCTACAAAT